CAGTGTCGGTTTTAAACGGGAAGCCTTTCCTCTGCAGGGACTGGAGACAGGAGGGCCGAGAAGACAACCGAGAGGAGCGGGACGGCCCCTTCAGGCGTGGGGACGGTCCTCGCCGTGACGGGGACGACCGCGGGCCTCGCCGAGGCTTTGACGAAGACCGAGGTCCGCGTCGTGGAGGAGACGACGAGCGTCCGCCTCGCAGGGGGGTGGATGACGACCGCGGGCCGCGCCGAGGCTTCGACGAGGACAGAGGTCCCAGGAGGGCCGGGGACGAGGACCGCGGACCCAGACGAGGATTCGACGACGACCGCGGTCCCCGACGCGGTTTCGATGATGACCGCGGACCCAGACGAGGATTCGACGACGACCGCGGTCCCCGACGCGGTTTCGATGATGACCGCGGACCCAGACGCGGCTTCGACGACGACCGTGGGCCCAGACGTGGCTTTGATGATGACAGGGGTCCTCGCAGGGGGCTTGATGACTCCAGGGGTTCCAGACGTGGGGCTGACGACGACTGGGGCCCCAGAAGAGACATGGATGATGGCCCGCGTCGCGGCGAGGACGCCAAGCCATGGAAACCCCTCGGCAGACCCGGTACGGGTGTAAATTTATCACCAGTTGGCTGGACGATGTTCGTCTTCACCACTGGCTCTCTACTCTCTTGATATGCACATTCTGTGCTAACAAAGTTTAGCACTACTGCATAAAAAAATTAGGTCTTAAATTTCATTAATAAGTCTTAAAAAGCCTTACATTTTAGTTGGTAACACCTGCAGGAACTTAAATGAAAAGTTTGGCTCCAAAAAGGAAAACTGAACATTAGAGGTCAAAAAGTGAGATCTGAGTTGAAACGTTACTGATGAGTGAATGTTTGTGTTCCAGGTGGCTGGCGTGAGCGGGAAAAGGCCCGAGAGGAGAGCTGGGGCCCGCCCCGCGGCGGCACCCCTGAAGACGGAGAAGAAGACGATGGAGAAGAGCGATCCAGCGACCACTTCAGAGACCGTCGTCCACAGAAGTGGGAATGAAAAAATGCTCAACGGTCACAGATTTCCTGTTTCTCCGTATTTCATTAACGTGATCTGAAACCGTTTTCAGAGAAGAGAATCCCTGGAGGAGAGGAGGCAACGAGGAAGGAAGCTGGAGGGATTCCCGCAGAGAAGAGACTGACAGGGAAGATCGCCGTGGCGACAGGGACGACCGCCGTGGCGACCGGCAAGACAGAGACAGGCGGGACGATCGCGAACACAGACCTCCACCTAGAGATACTGATGAAGGTGAGGAAGGCTCGGACCCATCAGCTTCATCACAGTTTGACTTAAGAAAAACATCCCAGAAGTTTTAAAAACTTCACACTTTTCTGTTTCAGAAACTAATTTTTGTTTTCTTGACAAGTTTTTAACTTTTAAGTAGGGATGCATAGATCCACTGTTTTCACTTCCTGAGGGTTATTACAAAGTGACATAAATAAAGCATGATGTCACTCAGAGCACGAAGCACAGATTCAGATGGAATAGATCTGCCCTTATAGATCAGAAATATTGTCACAGATACAAATATTAATATCAGATTGGTGCATCTCCTAAATGCAGAAACAAACCCTTCAAATGCATATTTTATATGTAACGAATCTTTAACGTTTTTGTCTTGAATTACTGAAGAAAATGCAGCTTCTGCTTGGTCTGATTTATAGAGCTGAAGTATGACATTCAGCCAGCAGAGGTCACTGTTTACACATAAATACAGCTATTAGGGGCTTCTTAACACACAAACTTCCTGTTTTAAAAATGTTTTTTTTATGCATCATGTGTTCCTTTAATTAAAAAAAACTTATTTTAACTTAAACTCTTGTTCCTGCAGTGACCTCAGGAAGCTCCTGGCGCCGCGGCGGCGACGACAAACGGGAGGAGCGTGAGCGGGAACGACCCAGAGAGCGGGAGAGAGAGAGGGAGCGCGACGCTGAGGGGGAAAAGGCTTGGCGTACCGACAAGGAAAACCCTCGCCGCACCAAGAACGAGACAGACGACGACGGTTGGACCACCGTCCGGCGCTGAGCGGCTGCTCCTCCTCCTGGGACGAATCGCTCCAGACAAATATGACAAGAATTACTATAATAATAAGAGAAAAATACTCAGCCAGCTGGTCACAGCTTCTAGCTTCTCATACTGGATTAAATATTTGTAGACTTTAGTTTCATGGGATTTATTTTATCTTTTTGTGATTTTTCTGACTGGTTCCTCCTCACCTCTAATATGAGTAACCAATGAGCTTGTGTGGCCTCATTAACGATAATCTAAAAATGGTCAATGCAAACTATGTATCACCAACTGCCTCTTAATCATAGACTGCATAGATAATCTGACTCAGATTAGCATCTCCTGTAGTAGCAGCAGTTCTTCTCCTGGTTTAATCTGCCGGTGGGTTTCACATCTTGATTTGCATGCTTCAGAAAATTCAGATGGTTTCTTGATATCCAGTGTGTGCTGCAGCCGCTGGATGCATGTTAACAGAACAACTTTACGTAATAAAAATGTTTGCTCACCGCTTCTTTCTCATTGTCTAATCGGAGAAAAACAAACTTACGTTTTGTTTTAAAAAATAGGAGTTTTTGTATTAGTTTTAATTTAACTTCTAAAAAATTTGTTTCTTTTGTTTGATTCCAACTCAGATTTTAAAAACATGAAAAAAAGTCAACTTTCGCACAACAGACATAAATAAGTTAATTTTTCTGAAATGCATTTCAAATATATCATCAGTTGGACATAAGAATATATCCAACATTTTTAAAAATGTTTCAAAATATATTTTTCAAAAATATACAATTAAATATTAAAATTATTTTAAGAATCTTAAAATAGACTTTGCATGTATTTGTTAAATTTATATTTTAAATACACTAAAAATATATATTTTTGTTTTAAGAATGTTTTGTTTCTCAGAAATACAACTTCTGAGAAAACTTTTCAGATATTTCCAGGTAATGTACTTTAACTATAGTGTTCAGTTTACTGTTTTAACTGGAAAAAACACCTAAAACTCAGAGTTTATTCCTTTATTTACAACTAAAAGAATAAGACAATTTAATTTCAAAATACTTTATCCCAAAGGGAAAAGCAGTGTAACTCAAATCCAATATCTTTCAGAGTCGTGGATGATACTGTGGGAAGGAAGGATTCCCAGTAGCAGTCTGTCTTGCATTGAATCTGAAGAGGTCTCTGACTGAAGATTTTCTCTATGACTGTCTCATGCTAAAGGCTCAAAATCTGGGCAGCAGAGATATTTCAGAATCTGATTTTTTTTACTTTTGGAGCTCAGAAAATTCCTTGTTTGAGTTCATCGGTAGAAATTTACTCATCCACAGTGGACCTAATGCACGTCCAAGTTGACCATAAAATAATGTCTGTAATAATTTTCTGTTTTAGAAAGATAAACACATTTCTCTGTTATTAAGTTGAGCAATAGATTCACATGTTTCCTTGGCGTCGTTGGATCAGACTCAGACACACAGACGGACCACAGGCCGAGATAAAACTTTTATTCAAATATTCATACGAAGCCACAACAGCAACAAAATCAGCAGCTTCTTGGTCCAGATGCAGTTTTGTTTTGGGTTTTGTTTTCGCTGTCCCCTTTGCGACCAGTAGAGGTCAGTAAACCCTTGCAGAAAACGCCAGCAACCCGCCGGACCACGTGTGCCACGGCGAAGCGCTTCGGTTCCTGCTGCCCATGTCCAGCAGTCAGACAGCAGCATTCAAAAGTTTGGAGGAAATAATAAGCAGGCAGGCCGGGGTCATGACCTGGTGAACCACTGGAGGGTGAAAAAGTATATATAACAAGTTAATGTTATTTATTAGAAGCAATAATACGCAACACCGAGGTTCATCTAAATAGTAGAATTGTAAAACATTACAATTTATATATATATATATATATATATATATATATATATATATATATATATATATATATATATATATATATATATATATATATATATATATAAACACTGAGACCAAGAACAACAACACGCACATCGGAGACGCAAATTGCTTAATATGTATATTTATGTTAAGTATATATATATTAAGTGATTTGAGTCTCTGATGTGCGTATATATGGTGGAGCCGTGAGGCTATGTAAATAATGCTTTTAATACGAATAAGTTTAATTGTCTCTGCTGGGAAGCTTTTGCTCTTTTAATTTTAATGTTACAATATTTTATTCCACGAAACTTCATGTACAAAATAATTCACAGAACATTTCATAGACTCTTTAGTAATATATTAGCATGACAATATTTATGCGATGCTATGGAATAATAATAATAATAATAATAATAATAACTAAATATTTTACAGTTTTTAAAAAATGTTTGCATGACTTCCCAGCTTCCCTGCAGGCCTGCATGGTGCGTGGCCGTGGCCCCGCATGTCAACTGATCCACGCACAGGTAGGCTGCTCCAAACACCTGAGCGTGTTTTTGTCTTAATGCTGTCACGCAGAAACCTATTTGCATGTAAGTACGTCGAATACTCTTAACGTAAAGCGTGAAAGCACCTCGGACTCATTTAAGACTTTTATTTGGTTCTGTTGAAACATCGTTTAAAACCAAAATAACTGGAAGGAAAACTAAAAGTTTTTATTTTTAAAATATCCGGTGTGAAACCAAAATAAATAAGTAAAATAAGCGGAGTTATATGTTCATGCTGGTCTTTAATTGGAGCGAGCTGTTGTGGTTAATTAAAAATAATTATTGGCCAAGCAGTCAGAGCGCCGCTCACACTCTCCCTCCTAAAATCAGTTTCAGTGAGTCATTTATGAGCCTTCCATGCAACCAAGCTGCAAACCTGCAGCTCTCCATGGTTCGGATGAATGAGTTAAATGTCCCGGAGATATGTGTGCGCGCGTGAGTGAGAGAGAGAGTGCGCGCGCGTGTGCGGGGGGCCTCCTCTCTAGACGAATCCGTTCCGTGTTGCGCGCTCGAGTCCGCCTCTCCGCGCCCCTGCTTCCCCCGTTGACGCACTTTTTAAGCGTCTTCCCCGTCTCCACCTCAAGGCGAGCAGCAGCGGCGGCGGCAGCAGCGACCAATCACCATGCCATTACAGCCTGCAGAGGAAGCTGTTTATGGGGCTGCAGCGCTAATTAGGCTCATGAACTAACAAATCTGCTTGCACCAACCCGGCCGGGGAAAAAACACCAGCGCATCCATGGATTAGCCTGGGAGTAGCTGAGCTCTTTTTATTTTTTCCTACAAGCTTCCCAACTTATTTCGCAGCGAAGAAAACTTTCCCCCCTTTTCTTTGGGTGTGGAGGATTATTTTAAGCAGCGGCGCCTTCGACAACTTCGACCTAAACTGGGGAATCTGGACTATCAGACCATGTTTCAACCCACACCGAAGAGGTGTTTCACTATAGAATCGTTAGTGGCGAAGGACAATCCGGTACCGGCGTCCCGCTCAGAGGAGCCCATCAGGCCGGCGGCTCTCAGCTATGCAAACTCCGGCCAGATGAACCCGTTCCTGAACGGTTTCCACTCCGGCGGCAGGGGCGTCTACTCGAACCCGGACTTGGTGTTTGCAGAGGCGGTCTCTCACCCGCCGAACTCCGCCGTCCCGGTGCATCCGGTGGCCCCGCCACACGCTCTGGCCGCTCACCCGCTCTCCTCGTCGCACAGTCCGCACCCGCTTTTCGCCAGCCAGCAGCGGGACCCGTCCACCTTCTACCCCTGGTTATTACACAGATATAGGTACCTGGGCCACAGGTTTCAGGGTAAGTTCTCCTTATGGCTCAGCTTTTACGCGTGACGTGCGCTGACCGGCCGCGTTTGGGGTTCACTTTTCGTAAAACTTTCCAGTTTGGACATAAACTCCCGTGTAAAAATATGAGAAATCCTGGGAAATAGGTGGCACAAAAAACGCGTTAGAGGCTCACGTAAAACTTGTGAGTTTGCACATAAACTGGTGTGTAAAAATATGAGAAACTCTGGGAAATAGGTGAAATAAAAAATATTGTTTACTTACAGTTATCTAAAGAGCAAAAAGTATTAAAAGCGAAATAAGGCTTTGCTTTTAATGAAACCGTATTGTGAAGCTGCTAGAGCTAAATAATAACATATTGTAGCCTGCAGTGTTTACTCAAAGGATAAAAAAATAAATACTATAAAACTATATATATATATATATATATATATATATATATATATATATATATATATATATATATATATATATATATATATATATAAATTTTTTTTTTTTTTTTAT